GATATCGCGAGGAGAAACTAACTCTCGTTACAGTTACTCTCGAGGTCGAGGGAGGGTTAAGGGAGAGTATCATCGAAAGAAGCGGTCGGGAAAGAGTAACTTCCATGCAGATAGAGTTAAAGGAGAGTAAGTTAGGGCACTTACTCTCCCTTGACACCTTTTTTTTTTTAGAGTGACAGTAGGAGCGGCAGATAAAGTTACGGCCAGGAAGGGTGAAAATGAGCCAAAATAAAGAAAAAAACACTCCAGATGAAAGCGGTGGCAGGATATTTATATACCTCCGCCAGCGCCGGCGTCTCGCGGTGAACACCAAACCTGTGGGATCCGGGGACGATCCATTCAAACAAACATTCACGTTGCGCGTGCTATTTTAGAATCTGTCGAAAACGAAGCAGGCCAAGTAGTCATGATCCAAGTCGATTTGCAGAAAGCATTCGACCGCGTGCAGCATGATGTGCTGTGGGCTGTTTTAAAGCGGGTAAATGTAGGTAATATTATTTTTGACGGGATCTGTATAGCGTACACCGGGTGCACCACCAAGTTAGTACTGAATCATTCTTTAACATCGAAAATTCCCATCTCGGCCTCTGTGAGGCAGGGGTGTCCCTTGTCCCCGTTGTTGTTTGCTTTGTATTTGGAGCCCTTATGTTTAAGCATAATTCAAAGCAAGAATGTGAAAGGTTTTTTAATGGATTCTATAGAAACAAAAATTTTGTCATACGCGGACGATATCGCGCTGTTTTGTGCCGACAAAAAGAGTGTCGTAGAGGCTCTAAGACTTTGCAAGTCTTTCTGCGTTGCAATGGGGGCTGCGGTTAATCCGGACAAAAGTGTTGGTCTATGGCACGGGACGTGGGCTACAACGCCAGCAGTCTACCAAGGGATACGATGGGATACTACCCCGTGCAAATACCTCGGGGCCCCGTTGCAGCACATGAAAAGCACAACACCATACTGGGAGAGTGTAGTAGAGCAACTTAGGAAAAGCACATCCGGGTGGCGCAACCGCAATTTGTCTATTTTTCTTCTTGCGACCGTATGTAATGTATTTTTAAACGCCAAGCTATGGTATGTCCTCCAAGTCTTATGGTGTACCCGAAGCTGCATCCAGAAGATGCATCGAGTTTTCGCGCTCTTTGTTTGGTTGTCGGAGAATGAACCGGATGTGCCGAGACGATCTTTTTCGACGTGCCTCCAAAGGAGGGGTAGGGCTCGCCCATCTTTTTGTTCGAAAGACTGTTTCTCGTTTTCTTTTCTTACGCGATCAGCAGAAGCCACTGTTTCGGGTTATGATCCAAACCCGCTTAGCTCAATTTCTGCCGTCTTTTCTTGTGTCTTCAGAGGTGGGACAGCCCGCAAGGATGGGTGGTTTTATAAAGGAAGTTGTGGACTCTTAAATTATTGGTAGTGAGATTTTCAATGGACTATTTGTCGAGTGTAACGCACAAAAGATTAACCCGCGACCTTCTTGACGCAGTTTTTCCGGTGCCACTTTACCGACTGCCGTATGTGGCGGGTCCTGGACAGGACGTACTGAGCCGCGTGAAGAAAATGTGTGTGCCGCCAGCGGGTAAAAACGTTTTTCTTCCGTTTACACACTGCCACATTACCAGTGAAGGTAAGGCTTCAGGAACGGGGCATGTACGTTCCTTGGGGTGTCAATTGTTTGTTGTGTCGACAGCCTGAGACTATTGAGCATGCGTTCCTGCATTGCTGGGACGCTGTCTTTTTTTGGGATGTTTTACAACGGACCCTGAAAAAATATATGTGCATTGATGAATACACCATTCGCTTTCTCCCCGTGGAGAAAGGTGAAACTGTGCCTTACAATCTCTTTATGGCCCTCGGATTGTACGGTCTGTGGAGGTCCCGTATGGCGGTGCGGCATGCCGAAGTCCGCCCAAAGTCAGCGCGTTTATTTTTTATTGAAGTGGTTTTGCAGGTCAAGAGTGTTTTAGAAATGAGTGAGACCCCGCCCGAGTGGGTTGGCTTGTTAGATGGCTTAAAAGGTATGAAGGAGTTTTAAGGATCGTTACGGCCCCAGGTGAGGGCACGTGGCGTTTTAGCCCGTGTCTTGTGAGTGTTTTGTGTGTATTGCGTATTTGGTGCAAATAAAAAAAGAAAAAAGTTTTCTACTGTGGTCGAGAGGTTAGAGCGCCGGTACTTATTGTCACGGCGTGAAAGTCCCGGGTTCAAATCGCGGTAGGAATTTTTTTTGTATTTTTCGCGTGTCTTACTTCTTAACTGTGATCCTTTTTAGGAATCATCCACTTGCACTACTGCGCCTTACACGGTGTTTACTGTTAGTCCCACCTCTTCACTCGAAACACCGGTAAAAAAAAAAAAAAAATCGAGGCAGTAATTTTTTTTCTATTTGACTGCACTCTTACTAAGAATGTAGACATGGCCCTATGAGCTCTATAAAATCATTGGGCGGGTACTTATGACTCACCAGTTCGTTGTTCATGACCTCGGAAGAGCGCATACATGTCTTTGGCTTCCTTTACCAACTTCCGCCACACCTCCTGCATCTGCCGTGCACTCCGCGGAAAGTTGACAATATCTTCCCATGCCCGTCTCTTCGTTCGCCAGGTAACTGTGCTGCTGAATATCTCTAGAATTTGTTGTTTCCGTTTTCCAACTGCTCTAATTATTTTCATTTGTTGATCCAAAGTCATTTTAGGTATATGCGTTCGAGAGAGGGTTTGCGATGCCGACACCTGATTCATTTTTGCATTCGGTTGCGATCGTCTGCTATTCTAACTAAAATTCAACAAGTAATGTCCTAATATTACAAAACGATTGCCACAACAAAATTTAAAGAGTAAAAACATAGCTTTTATCACATTCCATGCAAGTAAAAGTAAGATCTCTTTTACTTCGGTTTTACTACTTTCTCAGACGTCTGACTTGCTGCCTTGCCTGTAGGATTTCGCTCAATCACTGCATCCACAGCTGCTAGTCTTTTTTTCTTTTTGCTTATTGTGTGAAAGTCTTTTTTTTTAATTGCCACAACTGCAGTTTTTATTAATACTAAACGGGCGTCTCCTGTTATTGAAAGGAGTCGTAGCAAGAGCGTTGTATATTTAAAAACACATAAAACTAGTTGCTGGGGAAAGGATGCTTGTTTCGGCTCCGTTTGTGTGGAAGCCATACCCATGCTGTTACCTTGGTTTCCTTTTAATGAACATTATGAAATGATTGTATTAACGCGTTAACTTGCGTTGATCCTTTTTTTTTTCTTACCGGTGTTTCGAGTGAACAGGTGGGACTAACAGTAAACACCGTGTAAGGCGCAGTAGTGCAAGTGGATGATTCCTAAAAAGGATCACAGTTAAGAAGTAAGACACACGAAAAATACAAAAAAGAAAAAAGTTCCAAGCGTGATTGGAATCCAAGACTTTCACGCCGTGACGCTAACCTCTTGACCACTGTAGAAAGCGCGAGCCGCCGGCGCTGGCGGAGGTATATAAATATTCTGCCACCGCGTTCATCTCGAGTGGTTTTTCCTTTAATTTGGCTCATTTTTACCCTCCCTGGCCGTGACTTTATCTGCCGCTCCTACAGTATACGGGGGCAGTCAATTGGACTCCAGTTGAAAGTCCCTGCAGTCGGTTTCTGCGAGCGAAATTAGGCTTTTGTGCTTGAAGCGATACGGATTTCTCCGCCATTAGGCAGGGACGTTAGGTACTTCCTTGTCCCCATGGAGCTGGTGACGTGACAGAAAAATCCCTCTTGGCCGCAGCCGCAGCCGCAGCCGCAAGATAAGCAAACCGGCCCTGGGATCTGCTCGCGATCTTTTGCTCCACGTGCTCCGAGGTGGTGTGCGCTAGCCCACTCGGCCACCAATCCCCCTTTATGCGTTTTTTCTCGCGTTGTAAATACTTTTTTGCCTCACTTGGACTTAAAGGTGACCTCAGGAGGTTTCTAAGATTGACTAAATATAGTCATAACACACTTCGCTTGCTCTAAGCATTTTATATATTCTTAGATCCTGACGATACCCGAGGCCGGTTTTCCTATTAAAAGAACAATCAATGATCGAAACACACCGATATCATATCCGCCAATCGGAGGAGCCTGTTCCAAAACCAGGATCACTGTCAGCCAATAGCGAGCGAAGGATCCTCGCATCTCTGACCGGTGGAACCTCGGAGTGTTATCTCGAATGCTCGCGGCTTGTTGACCATACAGCCGGGACAACAAATGAACCCAGCGAACGCGCCCTCGAGCGCTCGAAAGCTTACGTTCGGACAGATAATTCAGGCAGAAGACAGAAAAAACAAAACAATATAGTTTGCTTCTTTTCTATACGATTATTGCAGCATTATGTTCCCCCTCTGCGAGAATTTAATCATTTTAGACTACACTTTCTTGTGTCCATTAACTACGAAATCAGGCACACTTTGTAATAACAGCGTTTGCAACCTCACCGAAATGTCGCGTTTTCATTGTTCACGTCTTGTCATCACAGTGCTCTTTTCATCACCGGAAATAATTTCGTTCTTTGATTTTTTTTTAATAGGGATATTCGGCCGCGCATCGTTAATGTTTATGATTTTTCTAGGATGCTTAAAGCCCGCGCAGTGAGTTATCGCCAGATTTAGGCGACCTTGGAAACTTCCTCAAGGTACCTTTAAAATGAAACAAAGTATCGATCGCGGCATTTTTTCGTGTTTCTATGTGTGTTACTATTTCACCACCTGTTCCAATCAAGCGCGAAGATTTTGTCTTGACATTGCGTTTTTTGTATCTGCGTGTGTATTTGTTTTGCGACTAGATTTCGGCCCTGGTCAGGATATGATCCTTAACCCACTATCATGTGAGGTGACTGGAGTTAGTAGGCGCAAGGCGTTTACGAGATTCGAAGATTCTACGCTAAGTTGAATGCAAGAAAGCGGAATTAGACGGATCGTTGTGAATATGAGTTAGACGCAATAAAAAGAAAGAACGTACTAATTCAAATATTTTGTAGTATCTAATTCACACTCTGTTCACAGGAGGAGCTCCAGTACCTGTGCAGCAAGCTTACCGAGCACAATGGAATTCCTGTGCATATAAACCAACACCTGAAGGCGAGCATCGAGAAATGCATCATGAAGATGCTGATCGGCGAATATTACCGAATTGGAGATCCAAGACGAAGGCTTCTGGACAGATGCATGTCGCAAGTGGGACGAGGGCTTTCCTCCTGCTCTCTTGTTGTCTGGGCACCGTCCTGGCTATACACGATCGCGGGCTACCTGCCGTTCTCAAGTGTGCACATGCTGAGAAGCGGGTATCGAGGGGTTGTGGAATTCGTCAGGTACGTGCGCCGTCACACCCCCTTGTTTCTCTGCCTCCCTTTCTCGGCTTTTTGTCTTCTATTAATCAGGGACATCATTGAGGATAGGCTGCACTCAGACCACTATGATCGCATACGGAAATAAGCTGAGTTTCGTCTTTATATTAAGAAAGCAAAAGTGCATTTAAATTAATTTTGTTGCGTTGAAAACTGGGAACGATTTTTAATGCCCCAGATGTGGTCAACTGGGTGAAAAAACATGGTTACTGTGAGATTTTAAACACCGTGATATTAGGCTCTAGTTTGTGGAAACTTGAAATACCCGTGATGTATTTCTGGTGACCTTACATTGCTTATGCACGTAAACTATGTAAACAGTTTTGTCAGTTGGTCTTTGCTGCTGGTTTGTAAGTGTGCGTGAATGTTCACGAAGGCTGTTTTTTTTTCTAACATCCAAAGGACTGGGTAAAAATAATAAGATTTATGAAAAATATTTTTGCGTACACCAAATGTAGGTTCGTACTCTAACCACTTCTCCCCATAACCAACACACAGATATAGGCAGTTGTTCCGACGTGTCACAAACATTTACATTTGTGTGCTCCCTCTGAAGAAAGTTGCGGCCGTAGTTCTGTCATCAATCATGCGTCAGCAAGACCATCCCTTGCCACAGAAATGTTATGCGCATGGAGATAACTGCATGAAGGTACCGGAAGGACGAGCTGACGTCTTTGATAATGAGGACGTCAAATAATTTTTATGGCGACTGGCGGTCGGCGACTGATCGGACGAACAGCGGCTGACCGGATTGGAACTAGGCATTTCGGTGCGCGGGTGTTTTGGGCAACGCCCAGTTTTCTTCGTAACCTTGCTTTCTTAGGCAAAATCATATGACCTGAATAAATATTTTCTACACTTTGTCCGCAAGGGTACGAATGAGCATGTCATGAATGTTAGGTTTTTACTTTCTTTGAAAATGATTAAACTAATCTTGCCGTTTGTTCAGAGAGGTATATTGGCAGAGTACAGGACGGGAAGGTAAAAGTTTGAAAAACATTTCAGTGAACTTATCCGAGCGAGTTTTGAGTCTTATCATCTGTATCGGGTTAAAGTAGTTTTAGTTTGTTCTATCAGCCACTCAGGGGGCGGAGATAGATGTCCGACGTTGGCGCGCGTTTTGGCTATACCAAACAAGTACCCCATGCTTCCTTTGATAGAACCGCAATTTGAATACAATAGCCGCGAGAAAACGACGACTAGATAGGTGCGGAATTTTATTTCGTCAAATGATCAGCTCCAGTCGCTGCATTCAATACTATCACTTGGAATATTTTGTACCTTTTCTTCAACATAATGATACGAGTAAAATATATTTTAAAATATATAGACTCCATATCTAAGCATTGAAGTAGTTTTAATGAAAAAAACATTAACTATCCCCTCGAGCGAGCCGAAATCATCAGTTTTGAAGCCGCCAAACGGTACCTTAAATATTTTCTCCAATTGAAGCCAGCTCCCAGCTTTGAAACCACGCGAGAAACCTAGCCAAACGGCTCCTAGATTCCCCAGTGAGTAAAGCTGATGGATTTCGGCTTCGGTCCCATTGGCTGGCCAGTGTCGGCGAGGCTCCCATTGGCCGCTGTGCGTCAGTTTCAACGACCGCCGCCCCATAACGCTACGTGTACGCGAGGCAGCGGCTCCATTGCTCCACACCCAAGGTCAGCGCGGCAAGGACAGCGCGCGCGTACGACCGTCAACGCAAGAACACCGCAGACGAAAGAAGAGAGCGGATGAGCGGCTTGCAAGCTTTCGCATTCACAACTCATAAGAAGTGCTTGGGTATACCTTGAGCCTTTTTTTGTATTGGCATCTTGCTGCGATTAAACGTTGAAAGTTATGTTTGCAGCATTACTTACAAACGAGTGTGTTTTAGAGTTAGAGATGAATACATAAAATAATAAAATATGAAGGGTGAAATGGAAACATAACTTTTTTTATTGAGCAACAACTTGACACCAAGTATAAAAAAATATAAGGGGAATTAAAATTAATAATAAATTTCCCTTTCCTTCATATTTTTTTCTTTATTTTCCCCTTCGAGAATGTTAAAACCTGGGAGGGGGGGGGTAAGGGGGAAGGGAGGGCGGTTATTATATTCATTTTGCCTTCATTCATTTTATTTACTCCTGCATGTTGAAATACAGTCGTTGGAGGCACGAACTAAAAGCCGACAGTTGTCGGCTTGAGGAGGTCCAGGGCCCCTACTTCATTGGCAGACAGCACAGAGGGAAAAAAACATATGCTCTTGTCATTCTGTGTTGCTAAATGAAAGAAGTTCTGCTTCCGTAACCGTGCTCTATGCTTTATTCTTTTATATATTCGTATTTGTTTTGGCAGTATTTTTTAACTTATACGAATTTTGGGTTTCCACTTATCCAACGTCCAATCACGCCCCACCACGACCTTCTTAAAGGGATACTGAACCAAGAAATTTAGAGTCCATAATAAGTGGCGCACGTTCTTTCCACGAGCCAGCAGTCACCTGTGTGCACGAGCACACGCAACAAAAATGACGTCAAAGACCTCTATTCGTGGTTAAGATGACAGCGAAATGTATGCGCTTCGGGCCAAAGGAGAAGAAAGACAAGTTTTTCATCTACACAGTGGTGTCTGGTGTAAAAGGTAAGCGATTATTTGGTCTAACAAGCACGTAGCTTTCACTTGTAGAGATGAAAAGCCTGTCTTTATTCGCCTTTGGCCCGAAGCCCATGCATTTCACTGTCCTTTTAAGCGCGAATAGAGGTCTTTGACGTCATTTTCATTGCGTGTACTCGCGCACACCGGCGGCTGCTGGCTCGTGGAAAGAACGTGCGCCACTTATTATGGACACTAAATGTTTTGGTTCAGTCTCCCTTTAAAGACATCACGCAACTCAAGTTACGAATGGCCTTTACCGTTTCATAGTTGAACGAGCTGGAGGCAGCGCCTTGTCCTTTCACTTTCCCATAGATGAGAGAAAAAGAAAGAGAGAAAGTTGTTCATTAGTAAGCGGTTAGCCAATACTTTACTAGGGGGAACAGATTCCACTCTTCGAAAATATAATAGCCTCGGCACGGAGAGGTTTTCTGGCTCGAATGGCTGGACGTCCCGCAGCCGTGACGTCTCCCCCCTTGAATTGGGGGGCTTGGCGAGAGCCATCTATCGGCGGGGATGTCTCGGCTATCGGGCAGTAAACGATGGTAATAATGATGATGGTGGTTCTTGATTTTGAGGCTGGCTTTTTCCTCCAAAGGAAGTGTCCGGTTTCTCATTTCGCTTTGGAGTTTAGGACACGGAAAACGAAACATTTAGGTGATGGCTCTCTGTCCGACGCGGCTGCTCTATCCTATTTGGCGCACCAAGCGTGATTCACTCACATGAGGATAGATGGCGCCCAAGTATGGGATCCCTCCCAAACCGACCGCTCCGATCGTTTCTCCCAGCGGTGGTCCCGCATTCTCTCGCTCACCGCTTCTTGTAGCTCACTGCCGGCACCCCGCTACCAAGTCGCCAGAGTCCGTAAAGCTGTGTTCTCTTCCTTCTTCTCCTTTGGGTTAACGCTCACTTTCGCGCGCGATGGTGGCACCTGTGGTCGACACAGCACCAAAACAAACCACGAGCCCAGCTACTGGCCGCACACCACCGCCACACCACCACACCGCGAAAAAGGCAAGCACGCTACGCCTCAGACTTGTGGCCGCCGAGCAGGGACCTCATGCCTCAGCGCCCTTCGCGGCGACGTGGAACGAACTACTCCTGGTTCAAGGCTAGCTCCGAACATCATCTGGTCGCTCGCTCCCCGCGGGAAGAGCGGCCAGATTAATCACCTAAATATGTTTCTTCACCGTGGTTTAGGAGCGGAGCCAAGGAGGAAGAAGATGAAAAAAGAAATCATTGTTTTTAAATACGATAACGACATGAATTTTACTGCATTAATAAAAATCTATTTCGAACAAGGTAGCAAGAGAGACACCTATGCCACTCCAAGGCACATTTTATGAACCTCAATTCGGTACGTAGTCTGTGCACAGCCGATATATTTTTTTCCTCACATTTGTTGTATTAGTTAGACGACGTTTGTGGAGACTGCTGCCATATGTTTGACTGTACCGGGCTTGCGTGCACGGTTTCCAAATTTAGCAAGTTCACCGCGGTGTCAATGTAGTTATGTTGTATGTTTATTTAGACAACGTGATCGATGGGCGTTGGTGCCTCCGCTCCGATGATAGACGTTGCTGGTGCAGTACCCCTGGTAGGTTGGGGTATTTAATGAGCACCACGCAAAGCCATCACCGTTGTGTCGAAATCAAGAAGGAAGGGAAGATCTGTTACACCCAGCTTTGCATTTTCCTGCACATGTATAAAAATCAAAACACAAAGCATAATGTTTTGAATGACAGATATCAAAACATAGGAATCTTGCCTGTTTTTGCATTTTTTGCTTGATATTTAAAATTTATGCTTACTGCATCCTCGGCAATTTTATCTTTTCAGCGAAAAAATTAGAGAGCACCAAGAGGTTCTTGACGAGCACACCATCTTGGATTTCACAGATGCGTACTTAAAGGAGACGTGCGAGTACTGTAAAGACAGCAACCCTCATATCAGTGGTAGGTAATCTCGATTCTGTTTATCTCAGCGATCTCTATGTCGATAATGGCCAAAGCTGGTTAAAGGGAAGCTGGCGCTGTATTTTATTGAAGTAAGTCCACTTAAATCATCTTCAATTTGTCTCCAGGACCACGAATATTGAGTATATTTTTCAAATTGGCGCACAGAGGCTGCAAACATTTATTTTCAAAGTACCGCTAAAGTTTTTTCTTCAAGAAGCGTTACGTCATAAAACGGGTTGTTGGTACCTCCATTCTCGTGCATCTTCAGTGCCTATCAAAGCTATGCACGAGCACTCTTCCTCTTTCGAAGAAGGTCAGAAAGAGACGTAACGACTGGTGTCAGGGTGCGAAAGATACATGGCAAGCTTACAGTTGCACGCGCAGCCCACACGAAAGACACGCGTTGATGGCCGAAAGATCTTTTTATGACAAACGACTGGTCGGAGGTTTTTCGTGTTTTCTCGCGTATAGTTACATCTTTGGAGAAAAGGAACGTGATATGGCCCCGATGCAGGACCAACCGTTGCTTGCTCGGCCCGACGAGCGTAAAATTCATATAATAAAAATACTCTCAAATTCACTTCTAGCTCTTTGTTTCTAAAACCTCTTCAGTTTACCTTTAACTCTAATAACTGTGCAAACTTAGTTCTCACCAATTTTGGTTACAACTCAACAGATGGCGCAAGCGGCGATGAAAACCCCAAAAGAACCAAACCGACCGCTCCGGTCGGTTTGGTTCTTTATGTTTTTTTTTTTTTCCGGACTTTAGACAAAGCTGGGCAACGTTTACTGAAATCAAAGGCTGCTAGTTTATATATGCGATAATATTCTACTATTTAGTTTTCAGAAACATTATCTGCCAACTGGTAAAGATTATATCAAAATTAGTTTTTTGTGTTTAAGAGGATGCATTTTTTGCTGCAGATTCAAACACTTCCACAGAAACACTAAACGCGAGATTTGAAAAAGTGTCACAATATGCAATCCAGCATATATTGAAGTTTGCGCGACAGAAGTTTGTATATCTTAAACTTAAACATTTTCGACGGACATCCGTCTGGTTAGGGATGATTAATAAATCTTCAACTTAGAAACTCTAACCAAGCTTTATTAAAAAGCAAAAATCCCGACGTTTCGGAACCAACTCGGTCCCTTGATCACGGGTGACTGTTTTTGTCCCGCGGAACGGCCTTCCCACGAACCCGAACACCCCCGGGTGTTTTCCGGATTATCCCTCTTAACCCCGAAACGTAGCTGCTGGGAAGGGTCCCCGTCGACCGGTTTATGTTGCCACGTGTGCATTGAATGTGCCACGACTCCAACAGGAGGCGCCTCCGCCAGTTTTTCTCCGTTCCGAGGATGGAGCTGTTGTCAAGGTCGATGGAGTGGTTCGCCTTCTCGATGTGTTCGGCCAGCGCGCTTCCCTCCACATTTTTCTTCGCGATGTCGTAGCGGTGGCGCCGCAGGCGCTCTGGATAGTTTTTCGTTTCCCCAACGTACGACGCGGGGCAGTCACCGCAGGGAATTTTATAAACCAATCCCTGTGCCCTCTCCCTCGGGGGGCGATCCTTTGGCAGGGGGAGAAGGCCGCCGATGGTCGAGACTGGCTTGTGTGATACCGCTATGCCGTACTGTCGCAGTACTCGGGCGAGAACCTCGCTTGTGCCCTTGATGTAGGGTACCCACACGCGGGTGGAGGGAGGGGGGGCGTCTTGGGTTGAAGGGGTGCGTCGAATTTTTTTGATCGTGCTTTTTACAAATCCAGCCGGGTAGCCATTCTTCCGCAGGTCTTGTTTAATCGTTTCGATCTCTTTTCGAAGGGTCTCCTCTGATGTGCAGACCGTGATCGCCCGTCTGACGAGTGCCGAAGCCACGGAAGACTTATGTGTCCTAGGGTGGCTTGAGGAAAAGTCCAGCTATAGGCCTGTGTGTGTCGGCCTCCTATACACACGGAAGTCCAGGCGGCCGGACTTTCTCACTGCACAGACGTCTAGGAAAGGGAGACAGCCATCTGATTCTTGCTCAATCGTGAATTGAATCGCTGGCTCGATGGAGTTGAGATGTGTGTGGAGACGGTCGATCTCACTGGTCTTTACAACACAAAAGCAGTCATCGACATACCGCAGGAAACACACGGGTCCTGGGGAGAAAGTGTCCAGGGCTTTTCTCTCGATCGCCTCCATTACGAAGTTTGCCACAGTGACGGAGACCGCAGCACCCATAGCCGTACCACTGGTTTGTCTGTAGAAGCGGCCAGCAAAAGAAAAATAAGTGCTGGATAGGCATAATTCCAGTAGACGGCAAATCTCGTCCACCTCAAGGCACGTTCTTTCGGAGAGTATCGTGTCAGACGAGAGGGCCTTCCGCGTCACAGACACTGCGAGAGGCACAGGCACACTTGTGAAAAGCGACACGACGTCGAAGGAGACAAGGCTCTCGTCGTCCCGCAGTTCGAGGCCCGATGTGAGCTCGATGAAGTGTCCAGAATTTTGGACGTACGTGTCGGTCTTCCCGGTTAAAGGCGACAGCAGTCGGTGGAGATGGTTGGACAACGCACGTAACGGAGACGTGGTGAAATCCACAATGGGTCGGAGGAGGACATCTGGCTTGTGCACCTTCGGCAGGCCATAAAAGGCCGGCGCTGAACCGTTCCGGCAAATGAGACCCAAGTAAAGGCCTCGGGACTCGGGATACCCATCAAAAATCGTAGAGAGCATTTTGTTTAGACTTGCCTGAATCTTGGCAGTCGGGTCCTTTGGCAGAATCATGTATGCGTCGGTGTTGAGAAGCTGAAGCGCCTTCTCATCGTAGTCCGCGCGGTCGAGTAGCACGGTTGCGTTCCCCTTGTCGGCAGGGAGGACGACGATGCTCTTGTCTTCTCTCAAGTTCTGAATGGCTGCTTTCTCTTCCTGACACTTAACGGCGGTATATTTGTACTATGAAACACTGTTTGCCTATTTTTCCCATTTTTTTTTCTATTTCGATGTTTTTTTTTTCATTATCTTCTATTTCCATGCGAACCTTACAACAAACGTTGAGCACTAACCTTTATGACATTCAGCACACATATTTTAAACTATATACATGAGTAGCTGTTAAAAAATTTTAGACCTAAAAACCGAGCAGTTTCATAGACTTTGATCGTGCATTTCCTTCCACGAAGCTTTGCAACAGAGATATCTCTTAAACAAAGATGAAAATAGGAAAAAGGGCCACGATAGGAAAAGCCCCAAATCTTCATATCTTAAAACTTTAAAAACAAATTGGTCCAACCCTAAACTCTGCCCATTTCTGCTACTCAGTGTTGGACAAAATACTCGATAAATAAAAGTATTTAAGTTAAGTAACTAAATAGCTGCTTCATAAAGTATTGAAACTACTACTCAAGTTACTTTCACTGCAAGGTATATTGAGTAGAGTAGAAATACTTAGAAATATAATTCGATTACTTTTGAAGATACTCCCGCACTGCGTAGTTTGTCCCGACGTCATCAACAGTGGCAGTAATACAGCTGCGCAAATCTGGGTTACCAGGATGGTTTATTATCCCGCAACAACACAAAACGAAAAAAGAAATTAAAGGTATCGCAGGGCTAATTTATGCAGTCCAACTATAAGGAGAAGGATATTGTCACGACTGACAAATGATGAGGCGGCGAATAATTGAAGAAACTAAACGTTTAATGGGGCGAACTTGTGCACAAACCAAAATAGAGAAAGGCTAGCGTCGCAGGCGTCGTTGTCAACGAAACAGCAGGATTGAGCAATGGGGCGAGACTGACTCAGGACCGCCACTCGGAGCACCTTTTGTACCCACGTGGGTTTCTGGAGCATTCGGCGTAGAAATTTCGGCGCGTAGAACATTTGTAACTCGATCAGACGACAAGGTTCTTGAAGTTACGAGCATGTCAAGTTGAAAGAATAAATAAAAGAGGAGTTTGCTCCCTGGCATCTTGCCCGGAGCCTCCGCGCGAAAGCATCCGCGCGAGAGACAAACGCGGTAACCATTCGGCCACGCGCTCGCTGGGCAGCGCGCGTGGCATTATCACTGACAGAGGTTACAAAACATTTCTGGGACAACAAGAAAGAAGTCACTTTAGCTGTTGGGGAGGAGATCAGACCGTGACGCCCCAAGCGGTTAACCTAGAACTACACGGATGGGGACAACAAATACAATGACGCAGCGTTCGGCCGACATAACCGAACGCGGCGTCAGCGTTCGGCTGGAGTTCGTGTTCTCCGATGAGGGGGAGGAGGAGCTCTTTTATTACCACTGCGGCCTGCATGACCAATGCAGCATGCAGGGTGCCCAGCTCAGCATAAAAGCCCAAGTGGGTCAAGCTCGCATCCTGTAACGTGTGCTCTCGGGGGAGATCCGGCACTTAACGTCATTCCACTAATTGTTGGTATTCTTACAGTACACTGTGCCTCGTGCTCTATGAAAAAACCACATGTACATGCCCACAAGGCCTGTGGGCATGTGCACACGCCTTCTGTTGGGTACACACTGAGGTGTGTGGGGGGGGGGGGGGGACAAACGGGTCAGAGCGCCTCGCCTGTAGTGACATCGCTGAATATCACGTCCTGCGGCGAACCTTAGACGCATCGTTTAACTACAATCCATATTCACTATATGGGGAGTTCACTATAAACGAACTTGGGATAGGGATATGAGTGTATGGATAACAAAGAGAACCCACATAATAGCCACGGCAGTGATCGAACTTTCTTCGAGTAGGTTGCGTTCAAAAAGGCACTCAACGTTGGGGTACATTTTGTTGGCATTTTTAGAGGTCATCCAGCTCGTTGTTTGTTTCCTGTACTGTTCTCTGGTTATCAACGTTCGCTTACAGACAGTGTTCGCGAGATCAATAGTTGACGGACTGACGACAAAAACAAGAGAAACAAAAGAAAACCTCGACGTTTTGCCCTAGATGGGTCAAATATACAAAAAGCAAAACCAAAAGGTTTTATTTTTGTGTGTGTGTGTCCACTTCTTATTTTCTTCTATTTGTTATTTCCTTAATACTCAGGCCTGCATTGTTGTCGTAGTTCGTTTTCCGGTCTGCGTTGGGGCTCACGGTGGCATCTTTACTTCCGTAAAACCACACCTTTTTTTGAGGATTTTTTGGGGAGAAACTTTATGGAAACAAAAGGCGCCCTTGAGAAGGCGAGGGGAATACCTTCATTATGCAAACTTACGGCTGAAATAGGAGTTACAATCGGCACAAAAAGCGATGTTTTCACGAGCTCAATCAAAGTCACCCTAGCTATTTGGAGCTGTCAGCAGGATTTGGTTGCTCGCAAGAATGTTCACGTTTGCTCGTGCCACGCCACGCCACTTCATACCGAAAAACTCGAAAAATGGTGGAATGTAAAAAATGTATTTAAGGTAATGAGTGCAAGATACTCAGAACTGTAATTAAAACAAAGTTTAAGATACTCTCGATCAAAAGTATTTGCAAGATACCAAGATACTTTAAAAAGTATCTGAAATACAGTACCTTGAGTAGAGTATTTGAGATAGGCACAAGTCTGCTACTAACAAATCATGCTCGATCGGAAACGCCATTTTCCCCACGTTTTCCATCCGAGCTGAATTTTTAATTTATTTATACATATTTGACATGAAGATGAATGCTATTTTCTGTAGTATACAGTGCTATATTATAAATATTATCACGGAGCGACCAAGTGTTATAATAGAGATTCAAACACCGACTTATATCGTCATTTTTTCTGGCCGTCGTGAGGCCTCAGCCTCTATTCGCTCTCTTTTTGTTTGGCAACAAACTTAGTGGTGCCATCTATCGGGGAGCCCTGGCGCAGTTCCGGTCCGTGTGTATTTCCTAATTATGTACCCATCGTTCTTTTCTCTTAAGAGTAAATTACGTCTGAGAGCGCCATAAGAAACAATTTCCCAAAAATTCCGCTTAGATGTGGTGCCGTAAATACTGCAGAAACTGCCTTATGGCTTAAGACCGGAAGCTGCTGAGGGCAATTTGCACACTGGCGGCATCGGGTTTTAACTCATGCGAGAAAGAGCGAATACCATTGCAAGAGCGGATCCATGGGGCGTTGCAACAATATTTATTTCCGTCATCAGCGAAGGCGAACATTGACGAAAAAAGCTTCGGTTATGCTATTTGACGAAGAATACCTTTTGAAGACATAACACACTTTTAGGCAACTGTAGTAAAACGAAAAATAGGACTTCGCAAGGCCACATTTGTGGTAGACTGTGACGTATCAACCGTAACTCAAACCGCTACCCACTTTACAGTTTTGTGTTGGCGGTTCTTTGTCTGCCAGCAAACTTGAGCTTTCAATGTACCTCGTTCTATATGTTTCTTTGCTATCCATTCTTAAAAATGTATACGTCGATTTGCATTCCTCCAGAATGCTCGGAGAGTCAATTCCTGTAACCTACAAAGAGAGCTTGGCGAATCATGAAGCCGAAACGATAATTATACCTAAAATAAATCTGCGACTAACAGTGAACATATTTGGGAAATCATGCATAGTTGCAAGTCGATGCGTTGTATGGTCTGTCCTTTGTGTTTTATTCTTTCTAGTACTAAACGTTATCACCAACACGCTCAGCAAAATTACGTAACATTTTTACTTCTGAACGTATTTTTGACCTTCTCATTAACGGAGGTGACATCATGATTCGCAGTGATTCAATCTTTAAGTGCTCTGCGGGAAAGGAGACCTCCGGGCTTATTTAAGATTGGTATATACTATAATGACTTGAACGCGTCTCCGACTGGTGTGTTCAACGATCTTACCCGCATGCATTCAAATGGGTCCCGAAGTTGCAACAAATCACGTCACAGGAGCTGGCCTGTCGTGCTGCCGGGTGTCACGTTACTGGAGTTTGGTCATGTAAGTTCCGGCAACGAGTAAAAGCGAAGGCGAGTACCGTGCCATCACGGGACCCCAACTGCTGGCTTCTGAAGCTACCGTGTACTTTCAAGCTGGAGAGCATAATTCGGGAGAACAAGGGTTTGCGACCGTGCACCGTCACGATTGCAACGGCAGCAACTGTGACGTCATGTGGCGGAAATAAAAAGACGACGAAGGTGAACGCGGTACACACACCTGTTTGAGACTTTTTCCAGTTACCATAGTACGTAGAATTGCGTGGCTCAAAGTTAGAAGTAATCGTGTGTTCAACAAATACACACTTTATATCATTATCTCTAAAAACGCTGGGCGTATATTTGCAGTAAAATACGCTGCCGGTCATGTAGTGGGCTTGATGGGTGCCGGCGTGGATCCCGTGAGCAACAGCATCGTCTGGCATCTGCTGAACTGTGCTGACATGCTAAGCCTTCAGAACCGGATTCGACAAGAAGTCGACAGTGTGATTGGACAGCAACGAGCGCCCACCTGGGAGGACCGCTACAGCATGCCTTTCACAATGGCCTGCATCTGGGAGACTCACCGCTGGAGGACGATGAGTCCAATGGGAATTCCAAGAGGGTACACGAGAGAAATAATTCTCAGTATTTTATCATATGTTATATAGACGCATATCCTCCTCTATGGAAGTTTGCAAACCGACGCGCTTAAAAAGCTAGACTGGCCGCCTTAGATGAAATATTGTTTTTTTAGACGTGTGCCTGGCAACCGGGGGCACGCCTTAGCAGGACCCACGGAGGAGAAAAATCATACTTTTTGCTTTTAAATTCCGAGCTAGCTGGGGCAAGCTACTGTATGCGACAAAAAGTACAGCCGTTAGCATTCATCTATTCATCCATCCGGCTTGGCTATTAGAAGGTCTACATATGCCAGCAGCGATATGGCGGCGCCCGAATGCCATACCTGCACACTTCTTGACTGCGGAATCCTGGCAGATGGGCGAAATGGGTTACATCGGTAAGAAACGAGAGGAGCAACGGACGGTAAATGAAGGGCCTAACGAGAATCAGAAACCAGAAGCTCCGATACTAGTGCCACTTCAGGGTAGCGGCCGTACTCCGAACTGCATTTTAAAACAAATTTTGTGGCAACCAAATCGGTAAGTTATTGACACTCGCAGATTAAAATAAAGAAGCGCCGATAACGTCTCTATTCAAGAAAGCGATATTCGGTGCGGGACAGAGAAGCACAGTGAGCGTCCCTGCCGATTGTAGCTTTTTAATATTATGTTAAAACAGCACATTGTTGAATGCGGTTGAACACGACTTAGGCCGACAGCCAGTTAGTCTTGGAATTCTCTTCACACACGGCATCGCTGCAAGAATCGGAAAACACTGCAGTTTCTATCATACTTCATCTAACCTTAAGCTAACATTGAGGTGGTAGCTACGTACTCGTAGCCACGTACTCGTAGCTACTGATCCTGTATCACTCCTGAGTGAGGTCCGTTAACAACCCCAGGCTATCAGTGAGACTGTTGGCAAAATGCCTAATTTATGTCGTATACCAGTGTTACCGCGCCGCAAAGACAGACCGACCTTAAGTTGCCTAAGCACGTACGTTCAATTTGTTTGGGTGGTACAAGCTAGATGAACAAAACTAGGGTGCCTACATGTCTCTCTGTCCAGCGCTAGACTGTCTCAGGGTGAAGACATCCATTGTTCCTCTAAATGTGCCCGCGCGTGATGCACTGGCGCACTCGGTGCGTGACTTGGGTGGTAAATAGGCGTTTATGCATTACCAAAGCTACGCTCTCGAGCTGAGTGACACCAGATTGTGCGCATTTCAAAATGCATAAAAATTCGATTGGGCGGAAAAATGGCTGAGATATCACCACTAAAGCAAAAACGCGCGTCTGTATGAAGACACTCTAGACAAAGCATGCGTATACCTTTCAGTGTGGCGGAGTGGTGACTCCGGAGTTGAAACAATTCCGTCCGAAATCATTCCGCACTTTCACAAATCCGGAATAGAATGGGGATGGAACGGCGGCAGCGCAGGGGGGTTGAAGTGGGAATGGAATTAGGCGCTTTTTGTCCGGATTAAAGTGAAAATATATAATGGGCTCTTTTCAAGCTGTGTCAAGTTTCATCTTGGTCCTATGGGATTATTGGACAACTCGCTAGCGCATGGAAAGTTTATCTTAAAATTGCATTGTTGCACTGGAGGAGACTAACGACTCGGGTGTCTCATTGGTTTATGCTCCTTCGAGGATTAAAATGAAACGCCCTCAGTGAAGCTACCGAAATATAATAGCTGTAGACGAACAACGTGTCGCTCCTGGCGCCGCGAGACGCAACAAAGTGGCTGTTGTAATCATGCGCGATTAGTCTTTTAACCAGGGTGTCGAACCGAACCAAAAACCGAAGCGAAAGCTTTATTTTTAACTGAACAGGAAAAAAATGTAGCTGAAATTAAGCATTTTATATTGAACTCGAACAGGGCCAGAACTGGCATCTCATGTAACGGTTACCGATTTATTGGAACCGGTTCGGCGTAATACATTTTGAGCCACACCCCTACTTGGTGGTGTCGGAGCGAAGTCAATTAAATATTCGCGATGGTTATGTCAGCGGCTCATTTTTCACTAAACATACAGCAGCGACGACATGGAGACATCTCAGTAACAATGAACAAATAAGTAGATTTCATGTCGTGCAGCATGAATTGACCTCGGCGAGACACCGGAGCCTATTCATAGCTCAGGGGGTGTCACCGGCCCTTCCGCTTGGGCGGAGCGACGTGCGGAGCGCAAAGTCACGTGACAAGCTACGACCTATGGGTTAGCTCCTGAAGCTCGTTGTCTATTGGGGTGCATCATAAAATAAAATGGAGTACTTTTGACCATGTCGAGAGGTGTCAGAGCCATTATTTGTGTGTTGTGTGTGAATGTGTATCTTTTTGTCTTGTTGCTAAGCAATATTCCCCAAGAAAGGAAAATGTGGATATAAGCATTAAATATTTTAAAAAGTTGCCAACTCTCGGTGCGTTTGTTTCACGGTGCCGAAATCTGGAGGCGGCTAGAGGCGAAGCCGCGACGAGCGCGACACTGCGGCGCCCGTTGCTGGGACTTTAATCGCCCAAATCCCTCTGTCCTGCTAGAATAATGTTTTTTTTTTTTGTATGTGAGCGTTTTTAGAAACAGCAAGTTGTGCGTTGTATTTTTATATCCAATTTCTTACTCGTCTTTCGAGCGGTTTTTGTTGTCTTCTTTCCCTTCAACCCAGTGGTTCGATTGTCGTACCGGCGTGCGGTCGTGCCAGTACTACATGATTCCCGTTAAATACCGCATGTCAGCAGTCGTACTGCACATGCTAAATTCTTCCCCAAAAGTGGGTAACAATGTCACCATACTCTGGCAGACTAAACACTTGCTGTCTAAACAAGCAACGAATAATTGCATTTCTTGTTGAATAGTTGGCGAGTTCGGCGCGTGCTTCCGTCAAGTACGTGTCATTATGCTTCACATCTGAGTACTGTACTTTGGTAGTTTTCCAAGCGCCTATAACCGCGTAATTCTTATAGAACGGCGTTTGAGTTAAATATTCAAGATCACAAAACGAAATCAACCGCATATTTGTTTTGCTGTTATTGTTTCCGGAGATCTAACTTTTTTAATGCTGATGACGCCGTGTTCAAGTGGCCCTTTCTTTTTAACGATTAGGAGCTACGCACGGTTCTTTAAAAAGCGGTTTCAACTCCTTCGCGCTAGGTAATACCGGTAACCGAACATTTATTTTGAGCCATAATTAAACCAGAACCAAAGATAAACAAAATGCGAAGCTACTCAACCCGAACCGAACCAAAAGAATGACCATTTCGTCTTCCTGCATTTAACCGAGCCGATCTTCTAGTGTTTTCGTGAAACACAAACAAGTATTTGGATTGAATATGTTAAGAAATCGCAAGAATTGTAAAGCAAACGTAAAGGTTTACCTTTTAAGGCAGGTCCTATAATATGGTTCTACAGTTCCTTGTGCAGACGCGGTATACCGATTGCACTTTCTCAGCGGTGTTCACGTCTTGCTGCAGTGCATGGACATTTGGAGCGGGTATACGCGGCGTCGCTTCTTCCCCGCACTGGCGGATCGGCTGTGCAAGTATGCAAAGCAGAGTGCAAGGTGGTTTCATCTTGCGTCACGCAGGAACTAGACATTTTTAAAGACTTATGAAACAATCGACACGGTAACCGTGTACATATGGAAAGGATGTGGTTCGCTTGGGAAGAAAATGAGTGTTTTTAGTTTTGACATTTGTTGCGACTCGCGAGTTTCTGTGCTTGATCACGCAATTAATGTCCGAAGTGACACCAGGTGGCAGAAAGTGCATTTTACGATTACCCTTTGGTTTACTAGAAATAATGCTTTTAGGAAGCCTTTACATACCTTTGCAGTCGTCTCTGTGTTGGATAACGTCAGCAACGTCCTGATAATTTTTTTTCACCAACAGAATGTGACTGTGGGTGGCCATTTTTTGCGTTTAGGAATTAGAGGAGTGGAATAGTTAATTTCCTTCATTCCAGGAGTGTGAATAGGCCCAATGTCACCATTCCGGGGAGTTGATTTGAATGGGATGGTCGGAAACTCCTATTCCCCGGAATGGAATTGGAATGGGGGTGCCCGTTCCGCAGCACTGATACCTTTTGCCTCATCACCAGGCTTCAGCACATACCAACGCGCCAAGATTGGGGTCAGAAAAAAAAAAGGGAGGAGGCTGAATGGTCAGGCAAGCGTGGAGCATCCCACACTGTCAGCTTAGGGGTTTAGTAGAACTGGACCGACCTGTGACGGATTTGTAGATTCCTGCTACCAAGCATTTGCGAAAACTGCGATTTCCAAGACAATATCCTCCATGTCGACAATAATCCCCGGGAGAGGGGTAACAAAAAGAACAAAAAACAAACAAAAATATCAAAACAAAGTTATAGGTGACTTCTGCGCGACCGAATAAAATCCGCCTGGAACTGGTATCGAGCCAGGGACCTCTCAATTGGGTGCGCTCTACAAACTCAGCTAACAAGGAGTTAGACGTCCGTAGAGCAAACGGGGTTTATCTGCTGACACCAGTCCAAGACGGACAAGTGTGAACGGCCTGGATTTTAGGGTTATGGTAATAGTGCAATTACTGGAAAGGTTCAAGCGAGATGGACAAGAATGACAATAAGAATTCCTGGAAAGGGGGAAAAAGGGACAATTGCATTATTATTATAACCTTTAAATGCGCGCCGTTCACCCTTGCTGGTCTTAGACTGGAGGCAGTTCATAAAACCTGTTTGCTCTACTGACGTCTAACTCCTGATTAGCTCAGTTGGTAAAGCGCTCTCCTGGAAAGAGAGAGGTCCCTGGTTCGATATGGAGTGTCAGGCGGACGTTTTTCGACACCGCACCAGTCACCTATAGCTGTGTTTGGAAATTTATGCTTGTCCTTTGTCCCCTTTGTTCCCCTTCTTTAGGAAAAACTTTGGTCATTCTTGTCCAGCTCGCTTGCACCTTTGCATTAATTTAATTATTATTATAATCCATGTGCTTTCTGGAGGCCGTTTTATTTGTTTCTAAAAACAATGAACAAAAACATTATTTTGAAAGGAAAGGACAAAACTTGAAATTCTATCTACCCCGTTGCCTCTATTGAACAGTAAAATTGCGGGATCTCTTGGCTATGACGTGAGTTCGCTAAGTGGAACCCTGTAAACGATAAATTTGCTTCGGAAACACACAGGTGGCATCACTGGCGACTCAATACAATGACACCTATACATAAAATAACAAAGCGTTTTGACTCCGATTAAATTAAAACAATACCGCTTGTTGATGGAGATAAGTAATAACCCGAACAATCGTTTGTATTAGTTTAGTTTCATAGTGAATGGCATAAAATAATCGTATATAATTTTTTTTTTAATTTTTACGTTTTTAGATTTTTTTTTGTTCTTCGTCACTAGACAATATTTGTAATCATACACAATGCTATGCGAACTTGAATTTGTCCTTGATTTATGAAGATTCATGAGAATCACGTAATCCAATTGTGGTGGTTTATGAGCTACAAACTAATTTATTTTTCATGTACTACCGGGTTCGAATGAAATGCGAACACTGAAGCGAGTAGCCGCCAACACACGCTGCGCCTCCTGGAGTCCAATAAAAAACTGATAAATCTGCGAAGTAGACCGTAGGGAGCTGCGACGATGTGCGTCCTGCTCCGATGCGTTTGACCCTAGCCCAGCACAACCCAAGGTTCGACGATGCGCCGGTTGTGCGATGGAAATTCTGCACCTGTTCGCATTTCATTTGATTCCGATAGTACCAACCCTTAACCACAATTTAGCACTGTCCCTGTTGATATCATTCACAAAAGGGAACACCAACTACAAATACGTGTTTGAATTAAAAATATAAGATGCGATTCTTCTTCGGTAGCGAACAAAGTATCATAATGATGTCAAATGCAATTTAAAATAAACTGCGCATCATGTTCTCGGTCTCGGCTGCATATAAGCGGTATAATTAGTAAATTTGTAGCATTATCGTAGACGTTTTTTGTTCTTTTAATGCACCTATTCTAATCCTATGCGCTACTTTTTTAACGTTACCAGGAAACAATGGTATCATGAATAAAATATTTCCAGCATTTTCGGAAGATGCATTTGTCGTGGCCACAGGCGATGTCGTGTTCATTGAACATCTTGAGCCCGATATCTTGCTTATTTACACTTTCAGTATACGTAAAAAGAAAAAATAACTTTGTTCCGAAAGGTTTAAACTCGTGTTGCAGCTGCCTGGAGGACACGAGCATCGACAACTACATGATTCCCAAAGGAACCATCGTACTGCCGAATCTATGGGCTGTACACATGGATCCAACCCTGTGGAAGGATCCGGAAGCCTTTGATCCCTCAAGGTTTCTGAAGAATGACGGCTCGGGTTTGATTCCAAGGCCTGAGCACTTAGTGCCATTTTCTGCCGGTAAACTGAGTAATTATAACGCATTTTTAACGTAACGGCTACAAACGTCGCGCTTAAACAGATGCGAGCTACTCAATTGACCTTTGTACAAAAAAGGCAACACCAAGCGGCTAAATCTCCAAGTGCTATTGGTTTCCGTAAGGGAGTTACGCAACCTGTCCCGCCTTGATTTCCCGCGGCTCATCTGCGTTGCAGAGGATGTTGGAGAGGAAGCACCCAAACGTACTTTGTGCGCTGCTGGTTGTCTTTCTACGCTCTGTGAGAATGTCCTGCGCCGTTGCGGAATCCTTCTTGAATCAGACTAATTGATGTAGTGATGAAAAGCTTGGATAAAAAAAGTGAACCACACCCAGGTTGAGCAGAGTAAAGGATGCACAGGACATCTCGTTGGCCAAAGGAGTAGCCGATGTATGGTTCATAATACAGCTCTATAATGGTTACTGTTCGCCCTTAAAATTGAATACAACCATTGTTTTCTTAAATATAAAGTTTGCCGTTTTCGTAAAGCAGCCAGTTGTCGCGGTTAGTTATCTCGGTGCTCCAAGATTCGCCTCCTAGTTCTGGCGCAGGTTTTTCTTTTAGACCTGTGACATTTCCTCCTTTAGATGTGCATGTTGTCAAATAAAACACAAAACAAAAAAGTGTTAACCATACCTGCCCTGCAGTTACTGTATCTCTAAATACAAAAAAAAAATGATATCTTTAAGCTCAACCCCTCTCACTGTTTTTTCTCTTGAAAGTTATATACGTTGTGCTGCCTATTATCGGGCTCTCTTTATCGAAATTTCACACTGTGGATTTTACAGCTTCGATGCTTGTGCTAAAATTTAGGCCTTTCATATTAAGGCACTCTAAACTACCTAACCGCCCTATTACGAATGTGAGCGTGCTAAATCGAAACATTTGCGGCAGTACTTTTTGCACCTAAAAGGGGGGATCGGTGGCCGAGTGGGCTAGCACACACCAGCTCAGAGCAGGTGGAGCGAAAGCTCGCGCTGTAGAAGCCAGACATCCTGGGTTCAGTATCCATCCCTTCCCGTTTCGATCTGGATGAGCATCGTACGGGCATGCGGTCGTGTATCACTACTACGTGGTGCATATAGAAGACCCCAGGCTAGCGGTTGTACCGCACTGGCTAAATTGCTTATGTACAGCGAGTGCCTCGTCGAAACTTTAAAAATGGCTGACCAACGACTCGCTGTACGAATATCCACACAACCTCAATTTTTTCACACCTAAACACCGCTCACCATTAAGCTGAGACTAGAAGCTCCGCCTTCAGCACGAGCTGGCTGGCTTCCGCAGTGCTTTGTTTGCGCGTGCCTGCGCGTTCGCACTTGTGTTAGCAGGAGTTGAATGCTCGCGCTGAAGGCGGAGCTTCTAGTCTCAGCTTAAGGGTGAACGGTGAATAGTTTCAGCTGAAGGGTGAACGGACTATAGCAACGAGTAGGATTATTAAATGCCAGTGGCAATTTCGACGGTGTGTGTAGAAAGAACGGTGATAGCTTTCGCTCAACAACAACCAATACCTTGAAAGTTAAACAGTCTTACAATGCGCCCTTTGTGGAAACAACTGCACCACCAGTGAGCGCTCCGGACCATTGCGGAAACTATAAGGGTGTGGCGCCTTTTAGCCACGCCAAATCTAGCTTTGTCGTGCTTTTGCATGCAAGGTGGCACACACTACCCCCGGAACTGCAGCGCCATTCTTAAGGCATTTATGTATCCAGGCGAGGTAACGGTTTTTAAACGTTGTAGAAACATGGTGCGTTTTTTTTTTACTTGCGAAAGAAAATAATATGTACTAACTAGCTCAACTGATTCCCGTAGCAAAAAATATGTAAAAAAACAGGTTGGATGCGTGAGTGACATGTCGCTATTTTGACGCGTGGCCCGCGCGTGTTGGCGCATTAAAAAAACAACCCTGGCACATCCAGAAGGATGGTGCATCTACAAAAGGGAAATGGACGGACGTGCTATGATTGAGGGTTTCTCAACTCATATGGGCAACGCAGCGAAGCAAAGGGTGCTGCAAAGTTTGTCGTCTGCCGGACACAGGAACCCAGTGCGAACGCATAGTAAACGTAGTTCTCACAGACAGTACGGCGGTAGCAGAAGACGACGGATCAGCGACCCTCACAGTTTTAATAATGCCTCACGCGTGCCGCTTCAAGGCACACGCTACGTTCGAGAAATGTCCCTTGATAAAATTCACGCTTTTAAGTACCGCCAACTATTGTTGTGGAAACGCGCTAGACAGGTGCCACGATCAGGTGCCCGACTGCCATTTGATTTCAAGAGCCATTCATTTCAGCGCAGCGCCGCCATTTGCTTCCAAGAACCGCTCGAGACAGGAGCCTCGTGCACTGTCGCATTTGCCACTACTTGCGAGGCAACCGTAAACACATCGAGGGGCTTTATCAAGAAAGGTTTATTACCTAAGCACCAAGGAGTATGCTTTCAGTGGTTACACGAGGTGCACATGCTGGTATCTGAAGCAGTAACTGTTCTGATATGGCATCCTTCAGGCGCGTTTGTCATCACTTTATTTTTTGGTTATTTATTTCAACTTTTTCAGACAAGGAAGGCGAGCACTTACAGGACGTGCGCTTACATTCCGGACATTCCCTTTTATGTTAGCATAACTTAGCGATATGTCTACTATGTCCTATGTACGTTGAGACAACCGAAAGTTAGCCTCAATGGGCGACTTGTCTCTCAGCCTTAGATGAGAAATTTAGCCAGTGCAGTACAACCGCTAGCTTCAAGTCTTTGACGTGCACCACGCAGTAGTTAAACGTACATGACCGCACGCCGGTACGACGCTCATCCAGGTTGAGGCGGGAAGAGGTGGGGATTTAACCCGGGAATTATGAGTTCTGCAGTGCGACCTTTCGCTTCACGCGCTCTCAGCTGCGGTGTGTTAACAGACTCGGCCACCGATCCCTTTACAGATATATTAGTAAACGTAAAATGAATCCTACTGAAGACGTCAAATTAAGCGTTTTGGCCAATTTTGGAGGGTCGAGCAGAGCAACGGGTTTGTTCGCGCATGTCGCCAAAGCACGTGAACAACTTTCTGTGGTATTTTAGAAGCTGTGAAGAGGGCGCGTGAACACCTTCGATCAGCTCTCCAGGTTCTTGGGTGCACACGGGGGCTCATAGTATTGACTGCATAGTACCAGAAAGTTGCCCGCGGGAACGGCGTGTCGAGTGGCTCTTTTTTTCTGAGGGAAAGAAAAGGCCTCAAAGCTGCCGCAGTGATCGGGAATTGAGCCTGGTGGCGCTAACCAGCGACCAATGTAGCTAGCGCGAACAGCCGGGAGCGACGCGAGCCCCACCGATGCAACACCACTGCTTCTGTCCGCTGGACTGTGCCTCGAGTGAGTAACTCAGCAAACCTAGCTGGATTATTGTTCCTATGCATCTCCCGGTTAAGCAGCAGGTCCTAGCGAAGCGGCAGGTCCTAGCGAAGCGGCAGAAATCACGCGGCTTTACCCCTATTATAGAGCACACATTTTCCGCGTTCTCATTCTACATATAACAGGTAGAAAACATATTTAGTTGCTGAATTAAAATTAGAATAGGTACTTGAATACAGTTGGTGATACGACTGAATCTAATTGCGCTTTTATTTTACTTCCAGGAAAACGAATGTGCCCAGCAGAGACGCCCACCAATATTCAGATTTTCTTGTATCTCACAACAATTCTGCAAAAGTTTATTGTGATGCCTGAAGATAACATTCCAGTTGACTTGTCTGTCGACTGCGTGACCTTCAACGTTCCTAAAATGCAGAAATTGCGCTTCATTTCACGCACATAGCCTACACTAGTCATGATTTACTTCATGTGTGTTACGTTAAATTGCACTGCAGTTAGGGTTTTAATAAACTATGCCCATTGTCTTACCGTACAGCGTTGTATATAGTTTTGCATGAAGTTGTTCACAAATAGGCGTAGTTAAGGTTTCTTCACCACCGTTGGTACACGTTCTTTGGTAGGAGTTCACTGTTATTTACGTACTCATATTTCATAAAACGTTATGTTAATTTAGATTTTGAGCACATCCTACTATAATGCATGCCTCATTGCTGGAAAAGATATCAATGGTTAATTTATTGCGTGTTTATAGTAGATCCAAATGATTTGGAAGTGTTTAAGTTTGAAACATTTCACTATTTATTTCGACCTACTGTAATGATATAACATTGAAAGTTACAAAACACATGACATTTTATTGCTTGCAGGGCGAAGGAAGTAGGCCAAACACTCCGTAATTAACTCTATTTGCAATATATATTGGCATATTTACGCATCGGGTGTTCTTTGACGTTATAAATTGTTTAGTTCGGTTTTTATTTATTTTTTTTTTTTTTGCTATCAAAAATATTTTGATCATGTATAAGTTTCCAAGCTGGAATCGAGGGTCTCACGGCCGACAGAGATCAAGTAAAATAAAGAAATTTGACAGTAGCCTTACTAGAATGCCTTTCTTGACTTAGACAAAAACACGAAAGGTAAAAAGGCAGTGCCGTTGCCAGGTTATTTTTCATAGTTTATCGAGATCAGACCCTTTGACAAAACAGTTTTGCAACTCAACTGGCGATTGGGTAATGAGTTGCTCAGTTGCTTTAGATATGTCCAAAAGCATATCGATATGGTGCTTGTAGTAGTTACATGTCTAAAATATGAAACATTTTATACATATGAGGAGATCTAACACCCTTGAAGCAACTCGGAGCTGTCTAGCTCGTCTATTGTAGGGTTCACACTAACCCTTTGGATAAAGAACAAGAGTGTGCGGTCGATAAAGCTATTAGGCAAAGTTGAAAGATCAGCAGTGGGATGAAAGGCTCCTTTTTCCGGCCCTTCCTCCCGGGAAAACAGCAATCGAGAACTCAACAGTATGCAAAATATACTGCAATTATTAATCTTCTGTTGCCCGCCGCCAAGATGGAAACCTCTGCTGTTTGTAGCCCAAACGTTGGTAGAATCTAATTTCCGCTAGTGAAGACCTGCTCCTTGACGGATTTCGTTCAAAACTGAACAATACGACGCTTCTTTTGTTTATAAACTGTGAGTTATTCGACTGGCCAAACGTTCAACAGCTCGAAGGACAGCTCGTTATAAAGTCTTCTCTAATTAAATCCCTGTAAAATTATCAACACATAAAACGAAAGCACTGGCAAACCTCGAAATGGTTTAACCAAGCAAATTTGCGAAATTCACAAGAAAAACACGTGGACACCCTCAGACCACGATCATCAGAAAAAAAAAAGAGTGCAATTGCATGTAATCGAGACACATGCTTCTGTACGGGGTTAAAAAAGTCAGGTGAACGAAAGTAAATGCAATGGCAGTAAATTTCCTGTCGGTCATCGTTCAACTGCAATAATAGTTTTCGGAGACCTTTGATCTGTATCCACTCCTCGCACAGGATGGCCAACTTCGAGGGAGAATCTTACTGAGTAGAAGAAAGAGAATGGGTGGTAATTCTGGAAATAAGCTGGGCGCGAAGAATCAACTTTCTCAACACCGTCAACCGGCTAGACGGTTCTGCACAAAATTGACGCGGAAAAGAAATTGCCGTTGCGGGCGGAAGTGTCTTGGAGAGAAAAGAAACATTTCCACCAGGTCATCAAGCCGATGGTACGACTGAGGACAAAGCTTCAAAGGAAACGCACCGGAACCTACAACAGCGGCGCAGAATATAAACAGCAAAGCTCTCGGATGACTTTTTGAAGCGCTTTGAGAGAGCCTTTTTTTTTCCTAACAAGGACAACTCGGGCCGCTCTGCACCTTCAGTTCATCGAATGTCAACGGAGGCACATAATAAATGATCACAAGACTCGGACCAATAATAGCGCGGTGTCAGTTGGAAACACAACGCTCAACACGATATTCGCGCAGAAATAACTTCATATTAAGTTGTTTGATATGAACAAATAATCATATAGGCAAATCTTATCAAACGTTATTTGATTTAGTACGTAAATTGACATCTAATTATCCATGACTAAACGCAGCATCGACTACTGCATACATGTAGACGTCAAGTTTATTTTTAGTGGAGCCAGCTGTGAGATGTGAGTTATGCCCAGTTGTGTAGCCTGCCACATCTCACCTGGAAATATATGCACCCCTCAACCAAATCCAGCTAAACGTCTCAAAAGCTTTCGACAAATTTTGTTATTGGATACTCTAAAAAAAACTTATCGAAGATGTTAAACAAGCTCATGTCATTGTCACATAACTTCGGGGAATCTGGATGCCCACAAATTGTGTATGGTGGCACCACGTCGTCCTTGTAGTCTTTACAGCAAGGAGCCAAGGAGCAACTTTGTCTGACGTCATACAAGACCAGAGCACTACTCTGTCATAAGAATACTCTCAAGAACGACAAATGATGAGACTGCTAATAACTGGAGAGACTAAGCGTTTACGTAAGCGAAGCTGTGCCAAAAAGAAGAAAAAAAAAAGGTTAGCGTCGCAGGCGTCGATGTCGGCGAAGCAGCAGGATCGATCGCTGGGGCAAGACAGACTCCAGCTCGCCACGCGGAGCACGTTTTGTGCACGCGCGGGTTTTTGAAACATTCGGCGTTGAACGTTCGGCGCGTAGAACATCCGTAACTCGATGCGACGACAAAGTTCTCGAACTTCGAAGAACGCCAAGTTGAACCAATAAATAAAATAACATTCCGCTCCCTGGAATCGAACCTTGAGCCTCCGCGCGACAGCTAAGCACGGCAACCCTTCGGCCACGCACGCGCACGCTCGGCGACGCGCGTGGCATGACCCCCTTCCCCCTTTAAAAGCTAATCGTATCGAGGCAACGTGTCAGGAAACAAAAACCTAAAAACAAACGAAAAAAAAGGGAAACGACGAAGCCATGACGAACACAGTCCTGTCGAGCGTAGTGCGAAAACACAGTTCGCAGTGCTAAAGAACGTAGTACCGCTTGAGGCGCACGACGTAAACGACTTCCGGTCGTAGAGGGCGGCTTGATAAAATTCGTGTTTCGTGCGGAAATCCCCTTGTAGTTCAGGTCCCTGTGTAACCCAAGCACCTTGTAGGGTCAAAATTACCTTTTTAACGGTTTCTCGCTGAGGTAGTGGCGGCGAATGGGTTTCACACCCACACTTTGTCTCCGGGCTCAAAGTGGACGTCGCGACGACTAAGATTATATTGTCTCGCGTCAACACGTTGTTGGTCATGGATCCCCAGGCGCGCGAGCTGGCGGACCTCCTCTGCTTGTTGGGTATTCAACTGGGCGTCGTCGGTTCCGTCGTTTGCAGGGTCGTGGGGCAGCATTGCGTAAAGCATCGTTTTAACCTTTCTTTCATGCCCCATCTGGAATGGTGTCATTTGGTGGTCCCTTTAACTGCAGTGTTGTAGGCAAACGTGATGCACTGCAATACTGTATATCATATATTGTGCTTAAGTCGATGTGCATAGCGATCATATGGGCGATAGTCTTGTTGAGCCGCTCCGTGAGTTGGTTGGTCTGTGGATGTTATGCCGTGGTCCGACCGTGTTCGGTGTGGACAAATTATCTCATTGGTCAGCTGACCCATGAACGATGACTCCCGGTCTGTAATGAGGACTAGAGGAGCGCCCTGTTGGAGGAAGACGGACTCGACGAAGAACTTGACGACGTCCACAGCAGTGCACCGACGGAAGGGCTTTAGTCTCGGCGTATACTGTCAGATAATTAGTGGAAATGATTATCCAACACTTTCACAGGGTTGACTGCGGAAAATGCCCCGTTATATTCATTCCGATCAGCTGGAAGGGAGCAGTTGGCGGAGAAATCGGCTGCAGGAGACTTGCCGGTTTCGTATGTTGTTCCTTGCGTCGCTGGCACTCGTATCATGGCAGTGTGGATAGGTGGGCGGTTTTGGGGAGCTTCGGCAAGAAATACTTGCCACAAATGCGGGCCAGTGTCTTGCTGTAACTAAGGTGTCTGGACGTCTTGCTGTCGTGACGTGCTTGAAAGGTCTCCTCTCGAAGGTCGGTCCGGATTACCAGCAGCCACGGCGAGTTGTTGTCCCCGAAGGTCTCTCTGTGTTGCACACAATGTCAAATGGCGAAGGTCGTCAGGGCTCGTGAGAAAACGCGTGGCATAGTACTCCCGGTCCCTTCCAGCTGCTCTGTTATTGCGCGCAGGTCCCGATTGCCTCGTTGACGTCGTACCATGTCGTCGGTGTTCAATGCGCCTAGGAACAGCTCGTCGTCATTGTCGTCGCTGCTGCCAGAAGTTGTCTCGACAGGGGCTATGGAGAGGAAGTCGGTGTCGCTGTGCTTGCGGCGTGACTCGTAGACTACAGCCATGCTGAACACTTGCAACCGGAGACTTCATCGAGCGAGGTGTCCTGGAGGGTCTTTGAGGTTCGCAAGCCAACACAGTAAGTAGTTGTCTGTGGCTACACAGAACCTGCTACCGTGCCAGTACAGGCTAATCTTCGTGATTGCCCAGACGAACGCAAGGTACTTTATTTCAGTCGTGGAATAATGTTTCTCTGCCTTGGACAGTGTCCGATTTGCGTGGGGAGATGACTCGCTTGGTTCTCTCTTGCACTTAAGCCAGACCACTGCATGGCCTGCGACTCTAGCGTCCGTGTGAGTCCCGTTTTCCGCATCCCGATCAAAGTGCCCAAGTAAGTGTGGTGTCTGGAGTCTTCGTTTGAGTTCGTTGAATGCCTACTGATGCTCCTCGGCCCATTGGAACTTCTCGGCGTCCTTCCTGAGGTTTGTGAGCGGTGCAGAAATATTTTCGAAATCCCGAACGATGCGCCGATAGTAGGCACATACTCCAACGAATCT